GTTTACCAGGTCACGTAAGTATCCGAAAAAATAAGTAATGTTATTGCTAAGTGCTCTAAGCTATAGTCAAAAACCAAAATCATGACATACATTGACACATGTACACGTTGTGCACCAGTAAAAAAAATCAGCTCAAGCAGGCTCTGTGCTCTTGCTCTGTTCTTAAGCTGGCAGTAATCACTGTCATGCACCACACTTACAGTCTCTTGAGAAAATTAGCAGTACCTATCCTTTGACGCAGTCTTGAGAGTCTATATCTACTTTGAAGTCGAATTCGGACTTCGAGCTCGAAGCTCTATACATTAGGATTAATATGACGGATAAAAGCGACACTGTATTGCGGTCTTTATAAAGTGATTTTTTTAAACAAGTCAGAGCACATTAGTGCCGCTGTCGTCGAACGAGAGTCGGCGAAGGCAGTCAATGATAAGTCACTATTTGCAGGGCAGACACTGACCTTAATAAAAATGGTCCGCGAGAGATGTAACAGAGCTTCCGAGGCATCAATATCGTTAAAAAGCATATGGTGGAGAGCATTAATGTGCATGGTACTGTGGCAAAAACGTTTTGCTCGTATATGGAGTAATCGGAGTTGTTCTTGAAGATGTACATCTCCCTCGCCTCGAAGACGTGTGCAAGATTTTGAGATGTCATATCAGACTGATTTAGTTTAGTTATGATACTACTGCTCAAAATATCAATTTATGTTGCTCTTCACGTCTATATTACCGCCAATGGACGTGATTTCTGGCATAGAACATAACTTACGCATGTAACATTACCTTTGACTAAAGGAAAGCATACGCAGAACCTAATCAGCTTTTGACGTTCTTATTGCAACATTTGTAGAGCAAAAATTATTGACGTCTACGCGAATGTAAACGCTGACTCATGGTGTCATAACATTTTCTATTAGAATATCAAAACACTTGGTAGCAGTTGTATTCATTGACCAAGTTATGAACGGAATCTATCGTATCTGAAAAAGAACATGTTGTGCTCGATTCCCCGGGACAATTAAACACGATCAGTAACATGATATCAGTTGTTCGTCTCGCCGAAATCGAAAAACTGGCAATCTAACAGCCAAGAGCGGTGGTTACTTGTCTGTAACACTCACCAGCTATAAGATTACGCTGGAGATACACTTTCAGGAGATCTGGCGATACACTTTCAGGAGATCGACAATCAGACGCCAGTAAACGAAAATATATACTGTCACTGATAATGTGTGTTCAGGCATCGAGGGTGAGAGCTCAAAAAATGAATTTATCGGACAAAAAGTTGAGAAATTCATAAAGGAAGCTTTAGCTCATACACAGCAATTACGCAATGCATTTGCTGTGTCTAAGCTGGAAGACTGCACGCCGAAATGAGTACTATTGTGCTTTGATGGGCCAGTCCCAATACACGTGTTGTGTAAGCTTGTGTTAACATTGACTATCGACCCTCTATAGATGTATATCCCTCGATTCTAATTTGTCAGAATTGACATTACATATTAGTTTATCGGCCATAATAAATGTCACTTCACCTTTTCTCTTCTTTCAAGCAAGCATCGGCCTGCTGAAATTGTGCAACATGCGGTGAAGCGTGCTAACTGGATAAAGTCTTCCTCGGTCGCTGCGTGTACGCGGACAAGCAAAACCAATTACATGCGCGAACGCTATGTAAGGATTTGTTCACAATGTGAATGAAATTGAAGTGGCATATGCCGCAAACGCACGCACCAACTACATAAGTGTACAGGTGGCGCTCGATACAATTGTTTTTTCGTCAGGAGCGATAAAAACTAGCAGACTATGTTCAGAAGTATAATGATCCAAGAATAGGATGAATCATATCCCGGATACACTATACACTATGTAATTTTTCCACCGCACGATGTGACTTAAACCATACCTAATTTTACACCTACTGCGTTGCGACCTTGAAGCAGAGGATAGCTCAGCTATAGGGCATGGTCAAGACGCTGCTCTGTAGACAAGGGAGCGCTTCATACCCGACCTACTTGAAAGATTATGATTGTGATATGGCACGTTCAGTCTAGGACGTTTTTGCTCTAAGTTGGGATGATTAATGCATAAGATAGAGCCTGTTTCGGGACAAACATGAGCGTTTTACTGTAGCGTGATCCCAACTTGGGCCACAGCTGTATGTAGACTAACTGCATTCACTATAACCTTTTGCCCAACTCAATATTTGCGTGCTTGCTGGCTTCAAGTGCTTTAAAAAAACCTGCCTCTTGGCCATAGCTTCGCACACCCAGCGATGACGCTTAATATCACTGATTTAGAATCATTAATTTTTCTACACAGGGTTACCGGGCCGATAAAGACAAGCGACTGCATCGACAGTAAACTCACCAAGACCTTAGCCTGTTTGTGGGGGCGTCAAAAGCATTCAACGACTACGAAATCTTTTATGTAAAATTAAGTAAAGCCTTTAGCGGAATGTATTGCGTGAGTCATTGCAAGTTTAATGGGTGCGACCAACTTCCGAGCAGCATGGTTTTTCAGCGCGAGTTCTTCAGAGGATACCCGCTAGAACGCGATTCAAAAGTTATACTTGATCGCCTAAATGCAAGCTGTGACCTCATCTTAAACCAAACATTTTTCATAAACGTCGCTGTAATTGCGGATGTCTATTAAATATCGGTAAGCCGTGTTGGCGAAGAATTTTGTTAGATAATAGTAAGGATGTATCCTCACTGTTTACAACGCCACCGACAGCATCAAGACGAGCCGATCTGCTCAGACGGTTAACAATGGTCAAACAAACCAGGAATATTTCGGACGCGTATTTTGAGAGACCAACTATAACTTTTACTGATGGACTGCCAGCTCATGTGCATTAGCGCGCATCGAGAACGTGTTATTTGAGCTCTGCCCCCAGCCTCAATCAATGTTTTACATGTTGTGTTTGACCCGGACGTCCGCGACTACATTACATCAGTCCGGCTTATAACTTACCGCAAATGCATTCTCGGAAAAGAAGAGTATCCATTTTGACATTTTCTGTGAAAAATGGGGTGACGACATTGCTGTGCGCGGCATTTGTATAAATCAAAATGACTTTGATCCAATCAGTTGCACCCTGAGTTGACGAAGGCATTCTTCATTGCAGGTAACCCTTTGTTGTGGACAGAAGAATTCTCTCATCAGTTCCCAGTTAGCAAGACCCATATGCAAACACGCATTCATATGTGCTTGAAACAAAATGCAGTATCTTACAAAGGCTAAAGCGCCACTGACGATCTAAAATTCTATATCTGACTTTGGAAGTGCCAGAATGGTGGCATACTTAGAACATAATTTCAGGCGTAAAGGCAGCCTCTTATGCTGCGGTTAAATACCATTAACATCAATTTAAAAAGGGTTGTGAGGGGTCGTATAGCCCGCACTATACGAAGCCACTTCTTCGAGTCATTTTTGGGAATATGCACTTATCAATCCACAATGGTCATCATTCTTGTGGGATGCCCGAATGCCACATTGCCTGAAGAAGCAACCCATAAAATATTAATTTCGGTGCCAATGTCACACTCGCCAATGTTGACGAACAGCTTACCTAAGCTCATTCACTCGAGTACTGCACCTAAGCGTTTAATTTGTGTTTTCACAACCGATATCTAAGTAAATATGGAAGAAACTATCGGCGGAATAGGTTTATTCATGGCCACGATTTGACCCGAACAACTGTGTCACCAGACTATTACCGTCGCTGATGCGTGGGATAATCTCTGTGGCATGACCAGTCATTCCTAGAGCATCTCGCGCGGAGTACTCACCGCAACGAGAAAAAGTTTACGTCTCTCAAGAGCAACAAGTAATATTTACCGAGCCAATCGACAGCCATGAACAAATCCAACCGCTCATTGCTGTTCCACAACACATCCTCTTAAAAAATTGGAGTTAGCATTTAATTGTGGGTGTATCTAGCTTATCATCACCATGTACTATTCGACTCTTGTCATGACTTTTTCGTGATCAAAAAAGTCGGCGCAAAGTACAAGATATCACTCTTCTTTCATCTAGCCTCAGCACAGGTAAACGCATCAATGACAAAAAAGTACTCCATGGTTTATGTTATTGAAATGTGGCGCAATTTTTTGATTCAAAAACAAATTGATTCAAACAGTTCGCGGACGCACCGCATTTCTAGAGGCAGCATGCTTGGTGAATCTGCCGTACCTCTTTTTGTTTTACATACAAGTTTTCCTTTCATTTTTTGTATATTGTTTTCTAAGGAAATAATATATTTTAACAAAGTTTCTAATCTCATTTTTTTTTAAACAAGAATTTAATATTTTCGAAGGTTAAAAAAAAATCCATAAGCGAAAATTCGACAAGAAGAGCAAGAAATAACACATGGAAGTAATTTTAAAGTATTTTTTTTGCAATCGATACTCGGTAAACACAGCTGGCTGGGTATCTGTTTTCTGCGAGCATGCTATATCCTGAATCTGCTCCGAATCATCTAATACTTTGTTGAAGAGGAAAAATACGTACATATTTAATATTATACTAAGCATGGAAAAAATCATATCGCAAGCCTCTGGCTTTCTATTTCTCCGAGCGTATAGTATGGAAAAATCACGTTTTTCTTGACTAGAAATTCAAGATCCAGTTGACTGACCTTCTTCAAACTGATTTAAGTGCGTGGGCAAAAATTTGGAGTTTTTTAAAGAGGCAAAGATAGTACATGTGTAGATTAAGACTACCGGGTAAGTACAATATTAAGATACTATCTATACGAATTCATGATTGAAATTAAGTACATGTGGTCCTATACAGAACAGCAATCTCGAAAAATTGTTTTCTGATTCTGCTTGAATTTACAGCGCATATGTTTTGTTTTCGAGTATCCCCAGTGATAGAAGTGACGCTGTATGAACTAAAAGGCGGAGAGGATACTAATCTGGCTACATAGGTTGGGAGTGGGCTTCGATTAACGGAAGCTCATTGCAAATTTTGACAAGCAGTTGACGAACAGCTAGAATGCGCAATATCGTGCTCCTCCTCTCTCTTCTCTTTCATGGGTTCGCCACCCTTGGCGCTCACTCGATCCCGCGGCAGGAGGAACCCGAGTCTGAGATGGCACTTGTTGCTCAGCACAACATTGAAAAAAATCAAACGGTTGTAACCAATGATGACAAGCGCTATATGGATGAAGAACGAATTGAGCTCAATCCTAATGCCGTTGTTCAAACTGTGGAGAAGGTAGTTGACAAGCCAAACAATGTCAACAAGGGAGTCTTTTCGTCATTGATGCGGTGGCTTTTGACGCCATACAGGGCCTTTTTGCGCTATCGCAATAGAGCATTTGCCAATACTAAATTAGCCGTTGTGACAAGACTTATTGATGAAGGACCGAATGGATACGATAAAGCACTTCTCAGTGATTATACCCCACTCACTTTGGAAACCTTGATCAGTCATGGCAAATCAGAGAACTACAAGTTCTATATGCCGACTGATACAAATGTCGCAACTATGTTTTATCGGTACCGCGATTTGTTGGGCGTCCCTGGAACTACCGTTACACCTGCCTCGTTGAATGAGATTTGGTCATCTACTATGCCTCAAATCTGGTTTCTTGATCGCCTTTGGATGAAAATCGAAGTCGGTATGGCAAAAGTGTTAATTAAAGCGAAAGTTGATGCTCAGGGAATGTTGTCTCGCAACATACGTCCAATTGCTTACAAGAAAGCGTTGCTTGATTTAAAAAAATGGGATGAAACGAAGACTTACACGTTGGAGGAGTGGCTCAAGGTTCCTGAACTCCAAACCTTTTACGACTATCTCAAGTTGCCTGGCGTCGCGTCAGCCTATGAGAGAGAGCATTATGCAGTATGAGTAAGATGTCATTCATATACTCTTCATTTAATATATTAGTTTCTTTTCATAGCCTTGTCATATGTATTAGATGCAAAGCATAATTTAAGTTGTGGACTACTACTGATATAAGTGAAGATAACATAACGCTGTAAAAGAAGATATATCACTTGTTTGAACAGCTCTTATTCCGCTTCTGGGTGGAACTTACGAACACATCTGTAAGCTTTGTTGAGTCCAAGTATTCTCTGCACAAGTCGCACAGAAACACCGTTGCACTTGGCATCCATTGTAGTAAATCCAACAAATAAATTGTGATAGACTATACACCCTGTACAAGTGCTCGATGATCTTGAAGTGGGTAAGAGTAAAGATGACACATGCTGTGGGGCTGATGATGATAGATAAGCGTTTAAGCTTTTCGAAAGTACAAAAAGTTGAGATGACCATGATTTCGGCCATAAACAGCAGCGGGTCGCTCCAGCAGCCCCTAGCAAGAAGACCTCACGAGCAGAATCTTTGCACAAGAGACATCTGAACGTGAGAAGGGTTGATTTTTTTTTGCACTGCCTTACCATGCATATTTTGTGGTGTCAGAAATTGAATCTTGAGCACCCGGTTAGAGTGGTGAGAGATGGTGGACTGTGTTCGTGAATCGAGAGCTGTTTCTACTGTGATGGCAAGAATTCTCTCTCAGAATCCATGATAGCCTTTGTTGTTATTGAATGTAGCCGGACGAGTCAACGTTACACCTTCGGGTAAACAGGAAACGGTTGAAGTGCGGAAGGAAGAAGTTCTATGAGTGTTTCAAGTTTGCCAAACCTCATAAAAGCTAACCAGGTAATTTGTGACGACTATGCTGTGGAACAGCTCATTTATATTTACAGAACATACAACATATGTGTCCAACTTGTTTCCATCTCACTCAGTTGAATATTGGTACGATTCCGTACTCTAAATAGACCCCTCGCGGTGAAACATCGAGTCTTTGGAGACACAGCGTGGCACATCCGATTTAATAGTACATCGTTTAGGCAGCGTCGTTATCGGTCAGCATGCATCCCAGGCTCTATGAGGTGTCAATAGTGTTGATTCAATGCGTATGACGCCTGACTGTCGACCACAGCAAGGTTTCAAGGTGCTGAATTTGGACACGATATCTGTCCGTCTTACACGAGCACTGCCGAAGATTTTTGTCGCTTTCTTCTAACTTTGTTAGCGTACACGCTGTCATGCACTTGATCTTGATTCGAGACACAATCATATCCTCGATATGACGTATTGATTCAATCGAAATCGACTACAAGACAAAGTCACAGCTGAGCATTAAGCATCAAGAAACATCGATTATGCAACGATAATCAGATACGTAGAGCTACCGAGTTGCCGTTGTAAAGTAGGGCAATGTCAAAATTGAATTTACCTGTTGCAAATATTTGATTCATTCGTGCATACTATTTGTATAGTATCGGACTATTTGTCGTTATTTTCCACAGACATAAAGGTCCAGTGGTCATGAAGTTGGGTGGTTTCACGCTCAAGAAGGGAAAGAAGAAGGCGCTTGTTGCATCTGCAGATTTCAAAGTCTGCAATCCTACGACTCGTCAGGTATCTGAGAAAGTCTATGTGACTGAATTTGATCCTACTGTGCCAGCAGCGCTAACGGAGTACGGAAAGCAGCCATTGGTCATTCCTCTATTGGCAAGTACTACCCAGAATGTGGTCTCAAAAGACATTAAAAATTGCAATGAACCCGAATTAACTATTGAAATAGGCACTTCAGTGGACGAGCAAGCCGCAGCCGAAATTTTGGCTGAGACGCACGCACATGCAACGACTCACAATAGTGATCAAACCCTCGTGATTCCTAGTGAGAGGGGAGAAAAGCGTGCGGAATTGTTTTCAAACAACAATTCGCAATTACACAAAAATGGAAAATTGCCCATTTTGCAACAAAATGTTGTTCCAGGTCTTGATCAGTTACAAGACGTTGTCGACAAGTATCGGCATGATGTAGCTTCACGACCCGAAGCTCTTGATGTTCACAGTGATGTTTACGAGTCTATACCCATTGAAGAATTTGGAGCGGCGCTTTTGCGTGGAATGGGCTGGACTGGAAATGTCAATGCGGATGACGTAGGTTTGACGCCACAACCAAGACACAAATTGTTGGGGCTAGGGGCAACAAAACGGCCTACTTTGCCAGGAGAAGAAAAAAAGAAAACGAGAAAAAAACAAAAGAAAGAAGTATCAAAAGACAAGAAATCCGATCGAGACGATAGAAGAAGACCAAGTTCGGTGGAAAAAGTCCGACGGCGAAGTCGCAGTCGCAATCGCAGTCGAGATCGAAGGCATCAAGAAAATCGAGAAAAAGATGCTCGAAGTCACAGACGTTAAATGGCAAAAGTATTGGTAAAAACTGATTTGTGTACATTCATGAACTGTTGTCGCTTTTGTCTTGCTCGTTCTCTAAGAGAGATGTGTCAAGTTGCAACGGCAATGGTGGAATGGACGTGCAGATGGCACCCAACCTTGAGCACAAAAAAAGCGACACTTCAGTTAGGACAAACATATGTGTTTAGTAGCAATGCAATTCCACGTACGCAGTGAGTACCGTGTCACAATTAGCTCGAAATCTCATCATCTGTTCACGTGTGTCAATTCTGCCATTCAGTAAATTCGTGCGCATTGTATTGAGTGTCAGTACATTGTCCTGTAAAAGTGCTACCAGTCGTGCTTCCTCAAGCTCAGCTGACGGAATATTTGGATCTTTGTAACGTTCGATTTTCATGCGCTTTGTGGTAGTCGTTGGGCCTCCTGTATATCCGAGAGCTTTGACCTTGTAGGCAACATCACGCACACATTTGCGTGGCAATGTGGCAGCAATTTTAATGTAACGTGTGACATTATCAAATTGATCGATTGGAAAGGTATTTAATCCAGTGTGTAGAGTCTGTAGCTCTTGGGGTGTCCATGTCGCTGGTGACGGCGAAATAGTTGGCAAAGGGTCTGCAGATTGGGGAGACGATAGAAATCCGCTCATTAGAAATGGCGACTGCTTGATTGTGTGGCTATGCGTCCTTTAAAATGTAACTTCCGACCGTTTGGTATATCTTGATTTGATTTTTTCCAATGTTTTGGTCATTTCTGGAGCTTGATGGCGATCTTGTTTACTGTCCGCTAGCCGATTTCGGTGCGAAGAAGGTAAGGAGAGGTCAGGATATCTATGCACATGCTATTGTGGGTCAGCCAGTGACTGCGCATAGACCACTATACAATGTAACAGAGCTAAAGGGTACAATTGCAGTGGTCCAACGAGGATTGTGCAATTTTATCACAAAAGTCTGGCATGCGCAACAAGCGGGCGCAGTCGCCGTATTAGTGGCCAATAATATTGATGAAGGAAATGGAGAAGCGTTTGTGATGGATGCAGGACATTCGCACAAGGATTTTGAATCAAAAGTGACAATTCCTGCTATAATGGTATCGAGAAATCACTCAATTAAAATGTTCGAGCTCATTCGTGAAGCGTATTTGGATCGTACGCACTTGTCGATCACGATCCGATTTCTTAGTG